CCCCTGCCTGCCCTCTGGTCCCTGCGCCCCTCCTGCCTGTCCTCTGGTTTCTGTGTCCGTCCTGCCGGCTCACCTGCCAATTCTCTGATTCCTGAATACTTCCTGCATCCCTCCTGCCTGTCCTCTCGTTCCTGCGTCGCTCCTGCCTGTAGTCTGGTTCCAGCATTCCTCCTGCCAGCTCACCTACCCGTCCTCTGGTTCCTGCGTCCTTCCTGCCAGCTCACCTCCCCGTCCTCTGGTTCTTGCATCCCTCCTGCCGGCTCACCTGCCTGTCCTCTGGTTCTTGCATCCCTCCTGCCGGCTCACCTGCCTGTCCTCTGGTTCTTGCATCCCTCCTGCCGGCTCACCTGCCCATCCTCTGGTTCCTGCATCCCTCCTGCAGGCTAACCTGCCCGTCCTCTGGTTCCTGTGTTCCTCCTGCCCGTCCTCTGGTTCCTGCATCCCTCCTGCCCGTCCTCTGGTTCCTGTGTTCCTCCTGCCCGTCCTCAGGTTCCTGCGTCCGTCCTGCCCATCCTCTGGTTCCAGCATCACTCTTGCTGGCTCACCTGCCCGTCCTCTGGTTCCTGTGTTCCTCCGGCTTGTCCCCTCGTTCCTGCGTCCCTCCTGCCGGCTGTCCTGCAAATCCTCTGGTTCCAGCATCGCTCCTGCCGGCTCACCTGCCCGTCCTCTGGTTCCTGCGTTTCTCCTACTCGTCCTCTGGTTCCAGCATCCCTTCTGCCAGCTCACCTTCCCATCCTCTGGTTCCTGCATCCCTCCTGCCGGCTCACCTGCCCGTCCTCTGGTTCCTGTGGTCCTCCTGCCCGTCCCCCCGTTCCTGCGTCCCTCCTGCCTGTCGTATGGTTCCTGCATCCCTCCTGCCGGCTGTCCTGCCCATCCTCTGGTTCCAGCGTCCCTCCTGCCGGCCCACCCGCATCCCTCCTGCCGGCTCACCTGCCCGTCCTCTGGTTCCTGCGTCCCTCCTGCCTATCCTCTGGTTCCAGCATCCCTCCTGCCGGCTCACCTGCCCATCCTCTGGTTCCTGCGTCCCTCCTGCCAGCTCACCTGCCCATCCTCTGGTTCCAACATCCCTCCTGCTGGCTCACCTGCCCATCCTCTGGTTCCTGCATCCCTCCTGCCGGCTCACCTGCCCGTCCTCTGGTTCCTGCGTCCCTCCTGCTCATACTCTAGTTCCAGCATCACTCCTGCTGGCTCACCTGCCTGTCCTCTGGTTCCTGTGTTCCTCCTGCCCGTCCCCTCGTTCCTGCGTCCCTCATGCTCGTTGTATGGTTCCTGCATCCCTCCTGCCGGCTGTCCTGCCCATCCTCTGGTTCCAGCATCCCTACTGCCGGATCACCTGCCCATCCTCTGTTTCCTGCGTCCCTTCTGCCAGCTCACCTGCCCATCATCTGGTTCCTGCTTCTCTCCTGCCTGCTCACCTGCCCGTCCTTTGTTTCCTGCATCTCTCCTACCCGTCCTCTGGTTCCTGCAGCCCTCCAGCCCATCCTCTGGTTCCTATGTTCCTCCCTTCCCTGTCCTCTGGTTCCTGCGTCCCTCCTGCCTGCCCTCTGGTTCCTGTGTTCCTCCTGCCAGTCCTCTGGTTCCAGCATCCCTCCTGCCGGCTCACCTGCCCGTCCTCTGGTTCCTGCGTCTTTCCTGTCGGCTCACCTGCTCATCCTCTGGTTCCTGCATCCCTCCT